CCCCATCCAACCTCACCCTGAACCTTCAGGGATGGGGCATCTCCCACCTCTTTGGGTGACCCGTTCCAGCGTTTCACCACCCTCATTGTAAAAAAATTTCTTCTAAATCTTCCCTCTTTCAATTTAAAGCCATTATCCTTGTCCTGTTGCAACACGCCCTGCTAAAAAGTTGTCCCCATCCTTCCTGAAGGCCTCCTTTAATTACTGAAAGGCCATAATGAAGGTCTCCCTGGGACCTTCTCTTCTCCGGGCTGAGCAACTGTGACTCTCTCAGCCTGTCCTCAGAGCAGAGGGGCTCCAGCCCTCTCATCATTTATGTGACCCTCCTCTGGACCTGCTCCAACAGGTCTGTGTCTTTCCTGTGCTGAGGACCCCAGAGCTGGACACACCACTCCAATCGTGCTGGAAATGAGACGCTTGTGGTTGGAGCCAGCGGCGCTTGAGACACAAGGGACCGTGGCAGCTCCAGCAACAGGTAAATCCGGAGGAGCAGCACCAGCCCCTGCCCCTCAGCTCTCGCCCTTCGCAGCCACCCTGGACTCTGCTGAGCTCAAGCCCGACCAAGTGAGAATTAAAGGTACCAAATTCAATTTCCTGGGATGCCGCCGTCACCCGCAGCTGTAGGAAGTTGCCAGGTGGAAAGGGACGGGAGGCTGGTGTCACCTCTGTCCCCAGGGTGGGCAGGGAAGGGCTCTACCCTCTGCCTGTGTCCCCTTTATAGTTCATGGGGACATTGGCTGCCACAAAGGGGAATTGTCAGCCCTTTTTCATGTCCCCCATACAAGTGTGAATTGTCACCCCTCTTTCACGTCCCCCATCCTGCCGTCTGCACACGTGTGACACCCTGTGCTCTGGAGAGAACGGGGCAGCTCCTCACCCTGTCGCTGGCTTATTTATCCCAAGGGCTGGTAGAACAAGAAGTGAGAGAGGATGCTGTGTCGAGGATGCTGAGGCTCTGCCTTCTGTTCCCACCCATGCTGGGCTAACAGGGTTTCCAATCCCAGCAGGCAACAGACGGAAGAAAACATTTCTCTCGAGCCTTAGGGGCTGGAGATATCGATGTCCAGACCTTGTTACGGGGAGATGAAAACAGTGTCTGAGCCTCGAGATTGGTGGCAGGAATCCCACCTCTGCTGGGGTCCCAACACAGGAGCAGCACAGCTTGTGACAAGCTTGGGAATTCAAGAATGATACTGGGAAGTACGGAGCAGGGATGAAGGGATGGGGATGAGCCACGGCAACAGGATAACGCTGCACTCACGGCTGCTCTTTGGAGGGCTGGAGAAGAGTCTTCTCCCAGAGGTGACAGGAATCCAAAGCAAGTCATGCAGGGATGTGTCCCCAGGAGACAGAGCTGCTGCAGGGAGTGAAGGACAGGCATGAATTAAACAGAGCCAGCAGGGAGGCTGGCTTCAGGGAAGAAAAGAAACATTCCAGGTATTCCTTTCCTCTGTCCCATTTTTTTTTTTGGAATTACACCACTGGCAAGGAGGAACTGGGGGAGTTAAGAGTGTCAAGTGTGTCATACCCAGAGAGGAGACACATGTTTGGGCAGCTGCAGCCAAGCCCTGAGTGAGGGTGTGCCACCGACACGGAGCTGAATCGGCAAAACCGGGCAGGGAAGAGCTTTAAGGTGCATCAGGGAAGGGGAAGGTTCCACGAGGAGCTGGAGGGAGAGCCCTGGGATGGAGGAGGCAGCAAAGCCTCAACGGAGCATCGCGGGGACTCGGGATCGGTCCCGTCCGGAGAGAAAAGGGAGATGCTGAGGCTTGAAGGGCTGACCTGGGAGGATCCAACCCGGCTGCTGCGTGGACAGGGCTTGGGGACAGGCAGCCTCGTCCCCCCACTGCCTCCCCTTGTCCTCTATTTCCCTCTGAACGAGGTCCAGAGCCAGCAGGGAGGGTGACCAGAGCACACCAACTGCCATCTACCGGGTAACCTGACGGTAGAGCCCCCCCCCATCACACACAAGGGCCATTCCTGGGAGAAAAGCTTGTTAAGCAGCTTTTCTGCTGAGTTTGTGTTTGCTAAGAGCATCCAAAGGTAAAGCAGGGCTGACCCAGGCTGGTGGGGTGAGATTTCGGAGGGCAGGAGGAACCCCCCACCCCAGGGGTCCAGCCGTGTTGGATGCTCATGGAGATGGGGGGAGCTGGGAAGGGCTGCAGCGCTGGAACGTGAGCTCCAATGCAGGGCTGCTGTCTCAGCAGAGAGAAATCAAACAGCCCAGCCCAAAGACTACCCCAGACTGTCTCACTGCAGCTGCATTTTTCTTCACTGGGGGGATCCAGAGCTTCCCTGCCCGATGCAGCACCCGCAGACGGAGGGGGTGGCAGCTCCCCAAGGCGAGCACCCCATTACCAAACCTGAGATTTATCAAATACTCGATTTATCACCCAGGAGGATCCCAGCCTCTCCCTTCTCCCTGCAGAACTTCTGGGAAGCGCTCCTCAGGTGGCTCTTCCTCCTTGTGAGGGGCAGAAATGAAGGGGAAACGCTCTAGGAATGGACAAATATTCCCTTAAACACACACGGAGCAGCCACTCCGGGCATCATCGGCGTAAAGGGCAGAGAGAATTGCCCCACGAGGGGGGAGGCAGAGGAGCACGTGCTGGCAGAGTGATGGTTTCACACCCAGGGGAGAGGGGAGGATGAGGAGGGCTGGGGGGGCACAGGGCTGTCCCCTCACACAGCCCCCCCTTTGCCAACCTGGCCTTCAGCAGCTGGAGAGGCAGCGATGGGAGAGATGCTGAATTGAGAGGAGTTTTGAAGGGGAAACGCTCTAGGAATGGACAAATATTCCCTTAAACACACACGGAGCAGCCACTCCGGGCATCATCGGCGTAAAGGGCAGAGAGAATTGCCCCACGAGGGGGGAGGCAGAGGAGCACGTGCTGGCAGAGTGATGGTTTCACACCCAGGGGAGAGGGGAGGATGAGGAGGGCTGGGGGGGCACAGGGCTGTCCCCTCACACAGCCCCCCCCCTTGCCAACCTGGCCTTCAGCAGCCGGAGAGGCAGTGATGGGAGAGATGCTGAATTGAGAGGAGTTTCCATGGCAACCCAGCCAGGGGAACCCCCCGGAGCTGGGGCTGAAGGAGGGGAGGGAGAGGAGGGAGAGGAAGGCAGCGGGCGGGAGGCAATGGCCGTTCTCAGGCACGGTGGTGCAGAAGAGAGGGGGTTTTACAGCCAAGATCTGGGCTGTGACGAGAGGGAAACCCTCATATCCCCAGGGGATCCCAAAGGCTTCTGACAAGGCTTCAAAACCCCAGGATGGAATATCCTACCTGGGGGAGGGCAGCACTGACAGCACATACAGAAACGTCACCCCCAGGCAAGATGTAAATTCCTAATCTGGGAATTTAAGGCATCTTCCTACACCCCCAACCTCTTTTTCTCCCCGGCCACTCCCAAGACTGATTATCCAAAGGGAGAACATCTCTTCAGGCCACAGAGAGCTCTCGTTTCCCGCACGTGTCCCACCCTCACAGCAGAGGCTGCTCCTGAAAGACAAGGGGTGTATGAAAAGGAATTATGAATAAAGCTTCAAGAGGAGAGAGCCTTGATCAATCCCCACCCGTCACAGCCGGGAGGAGACAGAGAAACCCCCACCAGGCTGGAATAAAGAGCAGGTTGGGAAGCGTTGCCCCACGAGGGGGGAGGCAGAGGAGCACGTGCTGGCAGAGTGATGGTTTCACACCCAGGGGAGAGGGGAGGATGAGGAGGGCTGGGGGGGCACAGGGCTGTCCCCTCACACAGCCCCCCCCCTTGCCAACCTGGCCTTCAGCAGCCGGAGAGGCAGTGATGGGAGAGATGCTGAATTGAGAGGAGTTTCCATGGCAACCCAGCCAGGGGAACCCCCCCGGAGCTGGGGCTGAAGGAGGGGAGGGAGAGGGGGGAGAGGAAGGCAGCGGGCAGGAGGTGATGGCTGTTCTCGGGCACAGCAGGGCAGAAGAGAGGGGGGTTTACAGCCAAGATCTGGGCTGTGACGAGAGGGAAACCCTGATATCCCTGGGAGATCCCAAAGGCTTCTGACAAGGCTTCAAAACCCCAGGATGGAATATCCTACCTGGGGGAGGGCAGCACTGACAGCACATACAGAAACGTCACCCCCAGGCAAGATGTAAATTCCTAATCTGGGAATTTAAGGCATCTTCCTACACCCCCAACCTCTTTTTCTCCCCGGCCACTCCCAAGACTGATTATCCAAAGGGAGAACATCTCTTCAGGCCACAGAGAGCTCTCGTTTCCCGCACGTGTCCCACCCTCACAGCAGAGGCTGCTCCTGAAAGACAAGGGGTGTATGAAAAGGAATTATGAATAAAGCTTCAAGAGGAGAGAGCCTTGATCAATCCCCACCCGTCACAGCCGGGAGGAGACAGAGAAACCCCCACCAGGCTGGAATAAAGAGCAGGTTGGGAAGCGTCTGCCAGAGGAAGGGGAACAACCAACGCTCAAAGGTGGCACCAGCACCCTCCCCGGGGAAGGCAGGAGCTGCCTGTCCCAGAGAGGGGTGTCTTTTTTGATCTACAGCTAAGGGGCTTGCTCCACAAATGAGCCTGCACGAGGCTGTGGCAGCATTTAGTATTCAGAAAGCATCGGGCTGTGAGAGGAACCCGTTTGCTGCTGCTGCTGCTGCAGCCGCCGCGGGTGCCAGGCAGTGGTGGTGCAGGGCAGGCTGCAGGAGCTGCCTCTGCAGGAATTTCCTGAGGGAAACACCATCTTTCCCCTCCCTGTGCACACTCACGGGCACCACAGACTGCTTGCTCCCAGGAAAGGAGCTGGGATGGAGAGAGAAAACACCCACAAGAAGCTCAATCCTCACCCCACCGATTTTATCTCCGAGGTGGTTGCCCCAACAAGTCCTGCTCCTCGCCCCCAGGATCCCACAACTCCCCCACGTGTTGGAAAAGGTCAAAGATCCAGCCACTTGTTGCAATAAATATTTATTTGGGTGCTGACCATAAAAAACCCCCTATTTTTGTAAGCCAGAGGGCAGAAATAATCACTTGTTGCAATAAATATTTATTTGGGCGCTGACCATAAAAAAAACCTCCTATTTTTGTAAGCCAGAGGGCAGAAATAACAGCGTCAGAGAGAGCTCTGACCGTTAGAGAAGGCACTGAGGATCCATCCCGACACCAGAACGGAGCTGGCCAAACTCTGGCCTCAGCCACTCGGGGAATTTAAGTTCTGTCTCCCCAGGGAAACACAACTGGTTCTCAGGGGAGGCTCAGCCCCCTCCAGCAGAACCTGTTCCAAACATACATGATACAAATCTGCACGGGGAGGCCCAAAAACCTACAGAGCAGACCCAAATACAATCCGCTCTGGTTACTCTCACGTGGTACAAGAAACAAGGCAATCCTTCTCCTGGGGTTTCTTCTGTGCCTGAAAGACTCTTTGAACTGAGCAATCAACCAGAAAAACAGAGTCCCAAACAGCCCCCGTCCTCCAAAACATGACTCTGAGATCCCCATGGGCAGCAGCCCAGGGCCAGAGTCTAAACCCAGGCAGAGAATCACAGGCAGGAGCATCACTTACGTGTATAAAACAGGATTATCCCCAGAAGACCCCAGGACCAGGCACACAATACAACCTCCCCACGTGTTTCAGGAATTTTCCTCTCGGAAAACTCCGGGCCACGGCACAGATTGGGGCTGAGCTCATTTTGTCACAGTATTTTTAGACTCTGGCTCAGGGGGAGAATCTGTTGATACATTAAAGAGGCGAGTGGCGAGCACCAGCCCTCGAAAGGGACGGAGCCATGACTGAAGGGAGGCAGAAAAGAGAGGGGAATCTTTATTTCCCTTCACATCACCAAGGATTCAGGTCTGGCCTCTCCTTGGCTGGAGGAAGGAAATGTGCTCTTGAGAGACATTTTTCCAGAGACATCTCCAGCCTGTGGAGAACGGCTCAAGCCGGCAGCGCTGTGCAGGAGGGAAAAACAACAGAGACAGTTCAAAAGTGTCCTTTCCCCCCTTCCCCACCTCCCCGTACTCTCCAACCCCGATTTCAGGTCAGAAATGTCCACATTAAACCGCGTTAGATCCCGGAATTCCCAAACCAGCAGCAGCATCAGGGCAGTCTGAGCCGAGGGATGTTATTTCTCCTCCGCAGCTCGCGCCTTGTTCCGTCGCTCCATCTTCTTCTGCAGTTTCCTCTTCAGCTGCAGCTGCTTTTTCTTCTGCAGCGTCTGCTGGACCTTCTCACGGCATTCCTTGTTTTTCTTCCTGATCTTGGCCAGCTCTGCTTTCCTTTTTGCCTCCAGATCCGGATCCTGCAATGGCAAATGCCAGGACATCAGTGACACGGCCAGTGCCAACCCCTTTGCCTTTCCTAGATGCCCAGGCTGCCCTCCAGCCCGTGACTGAGCAGGATGCAAAAGTCAGACACTACTTCAAAGCACTTTTTAATATTGGTCTCCCTTTAAGATAAACTTTCAACCTCCCTTTAAGATAAACTCCCCAAAGGGGAGTCAGGTGGACACACCACAGGAGCTGTCACTCCTGTTCCACAACGATGGCGTTGTACCAGCCCCCGATCGTAGTTTCTGTAGCAGCAACTCTCACCTTCCCTTCAAGGATCATTTGTTTCCGCTTATTTATTTCTTTCTTCTCGTCAAAATCCGTTCCCTCCAGTTCCTGTCAAAGCAAAAATACAGCAGGGCCATCGGTAACCGCGTCTGAGAGGGAGAAAAGCAGAGCAGCTCTGAAGGGTCACAGAACCTCAGTGTGAGAAGCACAGGTTTGGGAGCCTGTGGGCCTTCCACCCCCACAAAGGACTCAACACTCAGCATAAAACCGTGCAATAATAGAGCAAATCCAGGGAAGATAATTAAAACAACCCTCCCCACACACACATCCAAGTGCTTTGAATGAAGCAACAGGACGAGGGGGAAAGGTTTGACACTGAAAGACACACACACATCCAAGTGCTTTGAGTGAAGCGACAGGACGAGGGAGAAGGGTTTGACACTGAAAGAGGGGAGATTGAGAGAAAATCTGGGGAAGTTCTTTGCCAGGTGGTGAGAGCCTGGCCCAGGTTGCCCAGAGAAGCTGTGGCTGCCCCATCCCTGGAGGGGTTCAAGGGCAGGTTGGAGGGGGCTTGGAGCAACCTGGGCTGGTGGGAGGTGTCCCTGGGTGGCCTTTAAGGTCCCTCCCAACCCAACCCATTCTAGGATTCTATGATTCCCCTAGAAAGAGGAACAAGAATTCCTATTTATGTGCTCAGGAGCAAAGCTGTGTACCCAGCAAGTGCAAGGGATCTCCTGGTTACCCCCAGCTGCCCAAGAGCTCCAGCCCCCCCTGGACAAAGGGGCTTCATGTTGGGACACTCACAATTTCACATTGCCTCCTGGTGACGTTCACTTGGGTGACATCCCCTAGAAAGAGGAACAAGAATTCCTATTTATGTGCTCAGGAGCAAAGCTGTGTACCCAGCGAGGTACGTTCAACTGCAAGGGATCTCCTGGTTACCCCCAGCTGCCCAAGAGCTCCAGCCCCCCCTGGACAAAGGGGCTTCATGTTGGGACACTCACAATTTCACATTGCCTCCTGGTGACGTTCACTTGGGTGACAATGTTAAGCACCAACTGCTCCTCCACGGAGAACTCCTGCAGCTTCAGCTCTAAATCAGGGCGAGACATTCACAGAGCACGGTTGGTTACCAAAACCAGTAAAAAACCCAGTATAATTCCAGTGATTATCAGTGGATTTGTTGTCATAAGCTGTGATCACTCCCACTCCTTCAGGCCTACAACATGGGATTAAATCCTCCCCTCTGCCTACGGTTCCCCAGAGCACACAGAGTGGTGAGGAAGTAAGGAAGAAGGTGGCTGCTTTAATAAAAAGGTTACAGAGAGAGTTCAACACAGTTTCTCCTCCACCAGAAAAAGGCAGGAGGACAAACACCTTCACGCCTGACACCCACAACAGCAGAATCAAAGCTGATGGGGATTCAAAAGCTCCTGCTCCTTTCTGAGCCTCAGCCACACAAGGAAGAGACAGCATTTTATGTGGATGTTCTGGCTGGTACATTCTGCACTCAGGGAATCAGTGCTGCGAGTACCACAAGCACAAAGCAGCACACAGGATCCCACGTTTTAGCAGTGTTTATGGTGCTCTACTTACTGATTTCCTCCTCGATAGCGTGGACGAGGTGGATGTCGTACTGTGTCACCAGGGTAATCGCGATCCCTTTCCGACCTGGGGGATGAAAACAGGGTGATGGATGAATCTCGACAGGCAGAGGGAGGTGAAGCCCAACCCACGCCAAATTCCATCCATCCCCAGGCATCAGCCCAGCACATTATGGTGACAGGGTGTTCAGAGGGGGCTTTATTTGCTCTGAAAAAGGAGTTAGCTCTTGGTGCGGATCAGACACAAGTCAGGGGGAGCCATGGCTGAAATCTTAAGGCTGAGCAGATCCAGCACTGACTGAAAAGCCTGCGCTGCAGCCACTGTGAAGCCTCCTCACACCCCTTCAGGGCTCTTCCCCAGCTCTGGGACCCCCAGTTCCAGCCAGCAAACAGCAGCTTTTCCCCACTCACCCGCCCGGGCCGTCCGGCCAACCCGGTGAATGTAGATTTTTGGCAGGCCAGGAGTGTTGTGATTGATGACAACTTGTACTGTAGGAATGTCCAAACCTCTGCAAGGCAGGGAAAGAGAACAGAAGTTAAGGAACACTCATTTAATCCATGCAGTTCCTGTCCTCTGCTTTCTCCAAGAGCCCCATATTCTCATTAATATGGGACTCTCCTTATTGGCTTGGGTCAGTTCTAGGAGAAGCTCTTTCCTTGTTCAATTCTCCACTAGTCCCAAACCACAGTGTCACCCTGCAGCCTGCTCTTCCCTCCTAGACCCAGAGAAAACACATGAAGCCTCGTGGAAATCATTCTCCTTCTAGCACACACCCCCCTGGTGCAGCAGATCAAGCTCCATCACACACAGACAGCTCCAGAAGACAGCTCAGGGACATTCTACAATGGAAGTGAACAATCCCGTGCTACCCAACGGGGGGGATTTAAACCCATCATCCAGGTTGGAAGGGACCTTCAAGATCATCGAGTCCAACCATCAACCCAACCCTGCCCAAGCCACCACTAACCCACGTCCCTCAGCACCACGTCTGCCCGACTTTAAATCCCTCCAGGGATGGCAACTCCACTTCCCCAGGCAACCTCTTCCAGTTCTTGATAACCCTCTCTGTAAAGAAATTTTTCCTAATATCTACCCTAAACCCTCCCTGGCACATCGTGAGGCCATTTCCTCTTGTCCCAACCACGTCCCTCACCTGGCAGCAACATCCGTGGCAATGAGAATCTTAAAGATGCTGGACTTGAACTTTGCTAAAGCTGCAAATCGTTGTCGCTGCGAAGAGAGAAGTTTGTGTGAGGGACGTTGTGATCCACGGGAGCTGCAGGACGGGGGGAGACACCTGGTTTGGGGATGGAGCTGAAGCATCCGGCGCCCACATCGGTCCATCGCTCACCTGTTTCATCATGGAATGCAGAGCTACAGAAGGGAAGTTGTATTTCCTCAGCATCATGTTCAAGACCTGACAGTCCCTTGAAGGAAAAAAAAAACAACAAAACATAAAGCTGACAGATGAGGACAGAGCCAGGGTTCCTCGAGGAGCCCTCACGCTATAATTACCACAACACTGCTAATTACTGGAGTGCTCTGATGGAGGTAGGGAATGAGACACCCACCCTGCACCTGCTCACCCCCGAGACTGCTCAAAGCAAAAAGTGTTTCTCTACCAAATTTCAGAACAGACTAAGGAAGCAAATACCACCCCAACCCAACACCCAATAAAGTGGGGATTTCCAACCCCAACTAGAAACAAAGTCACACAAACACACTAAGAGCAATCACAGAATGATACGGCGCTCAGCAAAAAGTGTTTCTCTACCAAATTTCAGAACAGACTAGGAAGCAAATACCACCCCAGCCCAACACCCAATAAAGTGGGGGTTTCCAACCCCAACTAGAAAAATAAAGTCACACGCACACACTAAGAGCAATCACAGAATGATACGGGGTTGGAAGGGACCTCTGGAGATCATCTAGTCCAACATCTAGCTCCAATTGTGAGGAGTAAAGCCACTCACTTGCAGGTTTTGGTGAAGATAATGATAGACCAGTCGTCGTGCTCGTCCTGGAAGGTCTGGATGAGATGGACAAGGTAAGCATCCTTGATGGCTTCAGGTACGAGCAAGTAGCGCTGGTCCAGTTCCTCCACCGTCCGCACCCTGGTGGGAGAAGGTGAAGCACCAGTTTGTAAAGTGAAGATGTGTCCTGGGTTGGGAGGCACAGGACCAACTTCTCTTCTAACACTGGGGAAAACTGCACTTTTAGAAGACTCTAGTGTCCGAATTCATGAAAATATTTGCTTTAAAGCCAGCCAGGCTCTGTGAGATTCCAGGTCTTAGCACTCGACCCAGGCTGGGCAACAGGATTATTTCACACCACAAACTTCAAATTCAATAGAAATTAGAAAAATTTGCTGCGTAGCTCTCTCTCCCTTGATGGTGGGGGGTCCAGAGAACTCCTTGCCCCGGTGCTGCAACCCTGAGCCCTTCCCTTCCACCTGAAGCCATTGCACTCACAGCGTCCCACACTTGCTGTCCCTGCTGGGAGTGCATTGCACTCGCAGCATCCCACACTTGCTGTCCCTGCTGGGAGTGCAGAGCTCCTGCTGATAGAATGAGCTAAGTATATTCTTGTATACCTTATATTAGCATCAGGATTAATTAACAAAAATACTAAAAATCCAGTATTATTTAGTCTTAGTCTACTAAATCTATTTATAGTTCAACCCTTGTGGTTCTTTGTTCCCCAATTCCTCTTTCCAGGTTGGGAGGACTCATGGGGTGACAGAATAATTGTCTAAACAACAATAAATTGTTAGGGGTTTTCTCAAAACCATAACAAGATGGAACCAGAAGGGAAAGACAGCAGGGACACGAGGGAATGGAGATGAAAGATCTCTGTAGAGGGGGCGAAGACTTACTGGGATTCAGCCTCCCAGAAGAAGGGTCTGTTGGCAGCCAGGCCCTGCAGCTCCTTCAGCGTGTCGGTCAGCGTGGCACTGAACAGCAAGGTCTGTCTGCGTGCTGGGAGAGCATCCAAAATCACCTCCAGGTCCGGGGTGAAGTCAGCACAGCCCTGCTCCAACAGCCGGTCAGCTTCATCCAAAACCTGGGCACAGCCAAAAATAAACGGGACGGCCAGCGTGCGCGCCTACAGAGCTAAAAATCTTAAAAGCGGTTAAAAAAAAGAAGAAAAAAAACCTCCTAGAAAACTGCCTTACCAAGAACTTTATTTTTTTGAGGCTGAAAGTGTTGGAGCTGCGGAGGTGATCTGCCAGCCGGCCGGGCGTCGCGATGACCACGTGGGGTTTCCGGGAGAGCTCCAGCGCCTGCTCCACCATGTCTGCACCCAGAGCCACAGAAGAAAGGTGAGGTTTTTAGTCTGTAAAGCTGGAAAAACGTCACTCTCCTTATTCCCACCAGCCCCCGCCACCTCGGGCACCAGGTAACAGCTCCTCAGCACGGAGAAAACAACGGCGTGGAACAAGAGCCTCCCCGGAACAAGAGCTCTAGACACCCCGTATTGGTGTCCTGGTTTGAGGTAAAACAACTCATTTTCTGTTCAGTAATTTTACAGTTTTAGCTGGGCCTCTTCTAACTAACTAAATTAACAGCGTATTGTTCAGAAACTGTTCACTCTCAGAGTGATAAGACCTGGTTATACCAAGGAATGGTGTGGAGAGGTGACCCAAACCTGACCAACAGGGTATTCCATCCCATCTGCATCATCCTCAGGATAAAAGCTGAGGGATCAAAGGGTCAACTCTCTTCCTTCAATGGCCAATGTCTGTTCCTCTGCCTTTGATCCCCATCCGAGCATTCCTGACTCCAGATCCAGAACCAGGCTCCTGTCCCTCACCGAGCCCAGCCTGGGACCTTCCCCTGCGCCTGCTGGTGAGGGGATCATCATCCTGGAAGCTTGATACAGTTCTGTATATAGAGTAATTTTTTTTCTTTTCTTCCTATCATTATTTCATTATTTTCATTAAAGTAGTTTAGTTTTTTTCTAAACTCATAAATCTCTTTTATCTTTTCCTCTCCCTTAGAGAATCATAGAATCGTCTGGGTTGGAAGGGACCTTAAAGATCATCTAGTCCAACCATCGGCCTAACTCCGACAAAAAAATAAATAAGAAATAAGCAATAAAAAAATCAATAAACCATATTCTTGAGGACCATGTCAACCCGTCTTCTGAACACCTCCAGGGATGGTGCCTCAACCCCTTCCCTGGGCAGCCCATTCCAATGCTGGATAACCCTTTCCATGAAGAAATGTTTCCCAACATCCAATCTAAACCTCCCCTGGGGCAACTTGAGGCCATTTCCCCTTGTCCTGTCTCCTGGGATTTGGCAGATAAGAGGGGGGAGGGAGGGACCGTCTGTCCTTCTGATGGGTCAACCCGGTCAAATCTACCCCCGGGGCCGGGGGAGACTCCCACCCCCGGGGCAGCAACACTCACCCAGGCCGCCCACCACCACGCAGTCCTTCAGGCCGAGGGGCTTCCCCAGGACACGGAACTGCTCGGCGATCTGGTAGGCCAGCTCCCTGCCGGGGAGGAGAGAGTTTAAACGGGGCCGGGCCGCCGCGGCGGGGCCTTCCAGGACGCGGTTCTCCCGGTCCGAGCCCTCCCGTGGCCGTTTCCGCACCTGGTGGGCGTCAGCACCAGGCAGAAGATGCCGTAGGGATCCTCGGAGAGCACCTGCAGCACCGGCAGCACGAAGGCCGCCGTCTTCCCGCTGCCCGTCTTGGCGCAGCCCAGGCAGTCGCGGCCTGCGGGGGAGGGAGAAGCATGGGGAACGGTCAGCGGCCGTTAACGGCGGTACCGGGAGCGGGACGGGGAAGCGGGGGAGCTCACCCTGCAGCACGGGGGGGATGCAGGCGGCCTGCACGGGCGTGGGCCGGCTCAGCCCCACCTGCCGCGCCTGCTCCGCCAGCCACGGCGACAGCCCCAGCGCCCGGAACTCCGCCATGGCCGCCTCCACCTGCACCAGGCGCTACCGGATGTGCGTCACCCTGCGCGTCCGCCTCCCCTCATTGGCTAACACCCCTCCCAGCATACCTTGCCGGCGGCCACTTCCGGCGCTGGGGTGACGTTTTCACCTCCCTGCGTGCCTATTGGCTGGCGCGGGCGGTCGCCATGGAGACTGCGGCTCCCGGCAGCCGCCGCGGCTCAGCTGCTTCCGGAGACGTGTCTGAGGCGGGGAAATGGCGTCTGGGGCGGGTGCGGGCCCTGCTGGTCAGGGTGGAGAAGCCGACGAGCTCTTCGACGTGAAGAACAGCTTCTACATCGGGGCCTACCAGACCGCCATCAACGAGGCGCAGCGGGTCAAGGTGAGGCGCTTCGGAGGGTGGCCGGGGTGTCCCTTGGCCCGCGGGTCGGTGCTTCCCCTCAGCCGCCTGGGCCTCCCCGAGCGTCCTCCGGCCCTCCCTGCTTTGGCCCAGGCGGTTCTTGGTGCTTCCCACCATCCTGCGCTCGTAGGGGGACGCTGGGGTGGAAGTGGAAGTGGGGGGGTCCGAGAATGTGTTGTTGGAAGGGTCCCGTGTCCCTGAGGGGGTCCCGTGTGGGGGGTTGTGCTGTTGCAGGATTGGTTGTACAGGTCCCTGAGAGAGGTTCTTGTTCCCTGTCGTCCCTGCAGCCTTCTAACCCGGAGAAGGAAGTGGAGAGGGATGTCTTCTTGTTCCGAGCCTACATCGCCCAGGTGAGGTTGGGAGTGGGGCTTTTGCAGCAGCACAGGGTGAGTGTGGGGCTGGGGTCGAGGAGGTTGTGAGTCTGAGTCCTCCTTCAGCACCAGAACACAACGTGTTCTCTCCCAGTAACGTGACTGTGAATGCAGCATCTTGTATCAGGATGACATGACAAGATCTCTTTGAGAGGTGCTGTTTTGTCTTTAAAAGGAACACACCACATTCCCTGCCAGTAACGTGATTGTGAATGTAGCATCTTGTATGTAGGATCAGGACGACCTGACGAGACCTCTTTGAGAGGTGCTGTTTTGTCTTTAAAATGGCCAAATAGTTCTCTTTGGGGTTATGAAATTTGGCTGCGTTGGTAGAGAATGATGTGAGATGTAAGGTAGAAATTTGCTGTTGTTTTTCTTCTGACTGAGGTTTTGGGAAGTGAGCGATTCCCCACCTTCTGAAAATTTAGTAAGTCACAGATTTTACTTTGTTGCCCTGAACAGAGAAAATACGGTGTTGTCCTGGATGAAATTAAAGCCAACGCCTGCCCTGAGCTCCAGGCAGTGAGGATGTTTGCAGAATATCTTTCAAATGAGAGTCAAAGGTACGTCTGATAATGAGCTGGAACTCAAGCCCTCTCCTACAGGGGATACGTTTCCACGTGGAAAGTTCTTTGTAGAAGCGTCGTCTTTATTATGATTTTCTGTGGTTTCACAGTGAATCCCACAAAGGCAGAATTGGGTTGGGGGGACAGGATTTTTTTGTCTTGTTTAGTGACGAAAAGCTCTTAAATTCTTACCGTTGCTCTTCGTAGGGACGCAATTGTTGCTGATCTGGACAAGAAGATGGCAAAAAGCGTTGATATAACCAATACTACTTTCTTGCTGATGGCTGCTTCCATCTATTTCCACGACAAAAATCCCGACGCGGCGCTGCGTACTCTGCACCAAGGGGAGAGCCTGGAGTGGTGAGTGGCATCGGGCAGTGCATGCTGGCAAAGGGCCTCCCTAGGGAGCAGAAACAGCTGAGGTCTGGCTTCTCTCTAAAAAGCCTTCAAACCGTTGAGAAACCACTTTGAGCTTTTGTAGGAAGCGGTTTGGTGCTCGTCCTATGATACCAAGCCTATTGTTCCCTTGAGAAACTTAAAAAAACCATCTTGATTTATTGATTTGTGTGTGCTCAGAATTGTTGAGGGGAACCTTTTGTCTTTTACAAGTGGGGAGAAAGTTTCTCCCTTCTGGGTCCTGCTGTGAGAACCCTCCCAGTGGTGAGTGGCATCGGGCAGTGCATGCTGGCAAAGGGCCTCCCTAGGGAGCAGAAACAGCTGAGGTCTGGCTTCTCTCTAAAAAGCCTTCAAACCGTTGAGAAACCACTTTGGGCTTTTGTAGGAAGCTGTTTGGTGCTCATCCTACGATACCAAGCCTATTGTTCCCTTGAGAAACTTAAAAAAACCATCTTGATTTATTGATTTGTGTGTGCTCAGAATTGTTGAGGGGAACCTTTTGTCTTTTACAAGTGGGGAGAAAGTTTCTCCCTTCTGGGTCCTGCTGTGAGAACCCTCCCCGCTGTGTTTGTTCCCTGCGGGGCAGGAGGCTCATCCCCGGGCTGCTGGCAGCACCTGTCTTTGCCCCCGGGCAAAGCACAACAGGTGGTAAAAAGGGTCAAAATCACTTTGTTTTTGTTCTTTGCAGCATGGCCATGATGATACAGATTCTTCTGAAGCTCGACAGGCTCGATCTGGCTCGGTGAGTTCACATCCCTTCACTTTTTAATGGTGTTCTTGCTGGGAGACCTTGATAAGAGAATTTTCATCACCTGGCTAAGCCAGGTGATGAAAATTCTCTTATCAAGGTCTCCCAGCAAGAACACCATCAGCATTTTAACACCTGCAGCAGACAGAAGACCTCGTGTGTAGGTATGGATGCGCTGCAAACCGTTTTTATTCTTCATATTGCCAAAGTTGGGGGGATAGTACTGAAGCTGAAGGAAGAGGTGGAGACCTCCTGCTTTAATCTCACCTTCAGCAGAGTGTGGTGGGATTAGCCCTGGGTTTCTAACTCCCCCCGGGGAGGTAGAATGGGGAGGTCTTTTCACAGATCGTAACAGTAAAATATTGAAATGAAAATGTGAAAACCTTACATTATTAAGGTTTCTTTTTCTTAGCATTCACTTGGATCTGTTATGAAACCTCTCTTGCCTTACAATGGTGTGGAGATAGATTTTTCCATAAGATCTTGGTTTCTCCAAGAGATCCCACCTCAAACTGGTGGAAGATGCTGTGCTTGTAACCATTCTGACGCTGGAACTTTTTGCAGACCGAGGTAACCATATATGCGTTTAATTATAAAAATCTCATTTCGTAACCCTTTATTACATCAAACATCTGTGACTCCTGCTTTTGCTTCTGCAGAAAGGAACTCAAGAAGATGCAGGAGCAGGATGAGGACGCGACTCTTACCCAGCTGGCAACTGCCTGGGTCAACCTGGCCATAGTGAGTGTCTTAAATGAGGATCCCTCACCTACAACACCTGAGAAACACCTCCCTGTGTCTTGCTCCTGATTGCTCTTTTCACATCAGGCTTTCAGAAAAGCAAGCAAGGTTTTTGTTGGGTTTGGGTTTGGTTTTTTTTTTTTCCCTTCCTTTCAAATACACAGGAAACATTGGTAACTTGAACATAAGAAGTTTTTTTTTTTTTTTCCCTTCCTTCAAATACACTGGAAACATTGGTAACTTGAACATAAGAAGTTCCACCTGAACATGAGGAGGAACTTCTGTGCTTTGAGGGTGGCAGAGCCCTGGCAGAGGCTGCCCAGGGAGGTGGTGGGGTCTCCTTCTCTGGAGACATTCAAACTCCACCTGGACACGTTCCTGTGGGACCTGCTCTGGGTGGACCTGCTCTGGCAGGGGGTTGGAGGAGATGATCTCCAGAGCTCCCTTCCAACCCCATAGCATTCTGTGATTCTCTGTGCTTGTCAGCCTTTTTTCTGTGCTCCTCAGCCTTCAGCTCACACAGGGAAGAGCTAACCCACACTTAAATAATTCACAAAATGTTAGAATATAAAATGGAAAGCTGCGGTGTCGCCGGCGCCCAGACCTTGCAATTAAACTCCAAGAAAAAAAATATAATTCTCTGCTTAGAGCAGACAAAACCGGACAGTTTGTTGGTCCAGGTGGTTGAAAATAAACAGTCTCCTAAAATTCAGTGAAGTCCAAGGTTATGCATGAAATAAGCTGTTATATTAAGGTTTCTTTTCTTAGCATTCACTTGGTTCTGTTACAAAATCTCTCTTGCCTTACAATGGTGTGGGGATAGATTTTTCCATAAGATCTTAGTTTCCCCAAGAGATCCCACCTCAAACTGGTGGAAGATGCTGCGCTTGTAACCATTCTGAAGCTGGAACTTTTTGAAGAGCCAGGTGTCCATATATGCGTTTAATTATAAAAATCTCATTTCGTAACCCTTTATTACATCAAACATCTGTGACTCCTGCTTTTGCTTCTGCAGAAAGGAACTCAAGAAGATGCAGGAGCAGGATGAGGACGCGACTCTTACCCAGCTGGCAACTGCCTGGGTCAACCTGGCCATAGTGAGTGTCTTAAATGAGGATCCCTCACCTACAACACCTGAGAAACACCTCCCTGTGTCTTGCTCCTGATTGCTCTTTTCTTTCAGAAAAGCAAGCAAGGTTTTTGTTGGGTTTGGGTTTGGTTTTTTTTTTTTCCCTTCCTTTCAAATACACAGGAAACATTGGTAACTTGAACATAAGAAGTTCCACCTGAACATGAGGAGGAACTTCTGTGCTTTGAGGGTGGCAGAGCCCTGGCAGAGGCTGCCCAGGGAGGTGGTGGAGTCTCCTTCTCTGGAGACATTCAAACTCCACCTGGACACGTTCCTGTGGGACCTGCTCTGGGTGGACCTGCTCTGGCAGGGGGTTGGAGGAGATGATCTCCAGAGCTCCCTTCCAACCCCATAGCATTCTGTGATTCTCTGTGCTTGTCAGCCTTTTTTCTGTGCTCCTCAGCCTTCAGCTCACACAGGGAAGAGCTAACCCACACTTAAATAATTCACAAAATGTTAGAATATAAAATGGAAAGCTGCGGTGTCGCCGGCGCCCAGACCTTGCAATTAAACTCCAAGAAAAAAAATATAATTCTCTGCTTAGAGCAGACAAAACCGGACAGTTTGTTGGTCCAGGTGGTTGAAAATAAACAGTCTCCTAAAATTCAGTGAAATCCAAGCTTATGCATGAAATAAGCTGTTATATTAAGGTTTCTTTTCTTAGCATTCACTTGGTTCTGTTACAAAATCT